CCGAAACTGAATTCTCACCTATATCAGGTAGTAGCTTGCTGTGCAAATTTCAGTTCTGGGTGCAGTGTATCCTGGTACCGCACAACTGATACTGGCTTGAACTCAGCATGATCTGAATCAGTGGAGGCTGTGATGTGTGATGGCAAATCCCACTGAGAATTTCCAGCAGCATAGGGAAACTGCTGGCAAGAAGATCCAGAGGATAAGAATATCCCAGTGCTACTGTATCCTTATCTCCCCTTAAATTCTCTAGATAACCTTTATTTATTATTTTACATGGAGAAAAGCAACTGACACAGGCTGCCATGCTTACCACGGGCTGGAGCGCCACGCAGGTAGGGAACTCACTCCATTTGCACATGGCTGAACTAGGCCCCCCCTGTTTTAGCAGCTTGGTAATGTTTCCATGTTTCATACATTTCTTAGCTGCATACAGCTGAAAATAGAAGTGATTCACCTTTGACACTTATGTAAAAGAAAGACTGCAGCCTCAGTTCATCTTCCCTTGAACGGTGAGATGAAATTTGCAACCGTGTTTCATAACAGTACCTTTGTTGGCAAGCTTGCCAAAGAGGCCTGGGATAGGTGACCTTTGCAAATGAATAACCAACAACTTTGACTTTAGAAATAGTCTTTCATAATGAAGTTGATCCTGGGAACACACCCTCTGCCTACACTGAACTTATTTTTCAGTAACTTTAAATCTAAAACTATGTTTGAACTATTTAAACTGTGCTTAAAATTATATGTTTATTCCTGCACATGAACATAATTAGGACTATGGGTCATCTGCATTTTACCAGTCATACTGAATATAAAGTAATAAAAATGCCCATCTTCATTCCATAAATGCATATTGAAAAAATGTCACTTCTTAAACATACCTCTAGTTTTCAAATATAAGCTTGTTCAACTCCTTTTGGAAAAGAGGCCCAAAGAAAGAATAAACCAGCTCAAGTATTCAAAAACCATGGAAGCAGTAAGAATAAAAAAATAAGTAATAGCAACCTATTGATCTGTCAGGTTTTATTTTTAGCAAATTTCAAGTTGTCTTGTTCTCAAGACCTTTTCTTTCAGATCTCAGGGCTAAAAGGTAACCACCTCCTGTTTCACAAAAGGTAAAATACTCAAAAGAATGCCAACTCTCATGAGATAAATGACAAATCATGAGTCAGCAAAATTGCCCCAAAGCTTTATCAGGGAACTGATATTTTCTTTCAGGTTGTTTTTTGTGTGACATTTGTGTGACATTGCCTGAAATGATTCCCTTACGCTTTGGGAGTCTGGCTGAGAGGCCTGACAATAGTCCGTATTCCTGACTGAATTAAACACATTTGCAACTTTGTATAAAGAGGCAGTTAGTTGATCTTCCTACAGTCTGGGACTGGGTAGGAAAGGGAGGAAAGGAAAGGAAATTTTGTGTTTCCCTATTTACATATCTTCTACCTTGTAGTGTGGGAATCCGTGCAAAGATCCTCACTGAGCATTTGTTACAGCTAAAAAGTAAAAACACTGTAAAAGTGAAAACAGTAGTAGCTAGACCCAGTAGCTGGGGAATAGTATCAACATGAAAAAAACCAAACAAACCTTGATATATATGAAATCTATATACTACTCTATATGAAATATATATATATATATATCCTAAAATAGATATATATATAAACATCCTAGGGCATCCCTATATGATTTTTAAATGAGCCACAGATTAACTTCATTCACATCTTTACAAACCAGGTTTAGCAGATCCTTAGTGTTGGTTAAGGAACAAATAAACTGAGACTATGAAACTGGTTTTATATGTTGCTGAAATTAACAGAAAATCTTTGACTGCCCTGATCAGAAGTCAATATTGAAAAAAATAGGATCAATTAAAAAAAAAAAAGAAGTCGGTAGTGTTGAAGGTTACTTTGTTAGTTCCTCCTTTAGCTTCAACATTCAGTTCAGTGTCCCAGTGTCACGCTTTTTATTCTTCTTAATGGCTTTCCCCCTTCTAAAAGCATTGCTGGAGAAGTTTTAAGCCTGTTGATCAAAACCCCTAAAATGACGATGTCCTTTTTGTAAGAACTTAGTGAGGGTGGCTGTCACGCTCAAAAGACACATTGTGGCTGCCTGTACACTCTTCGGTGACGCACAAAGCACAGGAAATGAGGGCTCTTTTGCTTGTGTGTTTCTTGGTGTTCTCCACAGCTCATTCATCCAAACTGTGATGGTCACAGCCAGGCGTAAAAGCTGAGCCAGCAGCCTGCAGCAACCAGGTTCAAGGAAGGCTCTATCAGTAAGGACAACACTTCTAGACCGGCAATGAAGCCTTTGTGCACTCAAGAGGCTCTGATCATTTGAACGGGGGTTATGCTGTAGGGGTGAAAAGACAGCAGGTGGAAGAAGACTCAGAAAAGTCACTAGGCCTGTGATACTGCAAATCCAGCTGTGGCAGCGGTGACTCTCTTGGACACAGCATCTTGCTCCACGTGGCACATTTCTGGCCCTTGACCTGGGGTAAGAGACTGGGCCCTGGCTGCAGTCTTCCCAGAGTGGGGGTGTGGGGTTCCCCTGGTGCACTGGCAGCACCATCCTGCCTGCTGTGTGTTGCATCCAACTTCATCTGGCTTTCAGAGATTACAGACATATTTGTCCCTCTGAGGTTCTGTACCATGCTTGCCCAAAGTCAGCACAACTGTGGGCCCAACAGTCATTAAAGATCTATGCAAGCTATACTTTTTTTTTAAAGAAAAGCAGATTAATAAACCTCAAGGGCAGTTGCCCTAGGCAAGTCACATTTTAGAGTAGCCTCGTCTGTTGTGCCGGCTTGTTGGTGTCCATGCACTTCTCAGTGTCCTTCCATTCACACCCCTGAGTTTCACTTTCATTTCCTGTGGGCACTTGAGTTTCAATTCTCTTTCCATTGTCCTCTTTCTTGCTGGCACCTCCCTCAGCTACTGAAATACTTCTAAATCCACTTGGAATGTCTCTGTCTTCTCTTTACTTTCTTATGCTATTCCTTTTCCTTTCTTTCCTTTCCTGACTCCACATCTTTCAAATATATTTTTCTGGAATATCATAGTTTAAACCATTAAGAAAGGGGAAATTAAGAAGAACTGAGTTAATCCGATTCTTAAACTTATTTATAAAACTAAGTATCAGCTTGGGAACTGCCACAAATAGGGATGGGCTGAAGTGTTTTCTGGACTCGGGGAGTGTACTTTCAACTATTACCCTCATGTGTGTACCATTTATTTTACTTTTATGGATTCATTAATGGATCAGTGAACCTTCTCTTTCTGTTACCCCAGTCTTCCCTTTCTCCACAAATTAAATTCATTTTTCACTTTCTGTGGTGTTATCTATTTGGAACTATGTCACATTTTATTTAAATCACATCCTGTTAAAAGTAGGAAATGTCGTTTCTAACATTCATATAATTTCTAACAATTCTGGTCCTGCAAATTCTATTCAGACCAAGTATCTGTTCAAATTTCTAAACAGAAATTTCAAGTCTTGTTTCTGTGTTTCCACAATTCCAGCTTGGCACATCCCTGAGACAGTCACAATAATTTTTCTTTGAAAAAAAAAAATAATGACAAGAATTGCTGTAATTCTAGAATTACTACTTCATAATGACAATGTAAGAAAACACTGTCCTGGGGTATTATGATAGCTGCTCTGACTAATAACTGTAGGGATCTGGAACAATTCACAGGTCCAGCCAGGCCATAACCAGCAAAAAGCATAAAACAAGAGGATAAAATGGGTTTATAAGACTTCCTGTGCCTATTCTTCACCTTCCCAGTCCTGGGACCAGCAAAGAACGGCTGGCAGTCCACGATAAAATGGTAAGACTTGACCCATTTCCCACTCTCCACCCCACTCCGATGCCACATGTCCCGGAGGAGGCCATGATGACAGTGACTGTGATGCTAACGAAGGAGGAGAGCTGCAGTGAGTCAGGTTCAAGTCCATTTGCATTTCTAGAAGAGGATCAAGCGGTAATTGGGAATGCATAAATCTAACGTGTATCTAACAAGTTAGTCCTTGAATTTTTTAAAATAAAATACATACGTTTGCTGTGTATGTATAAAAATGCAGGATATGGTTTAGTCTACAACCACGATTCAGGACTGCTCTGTGGCAAGTCTGAGTGATGCGTACAAGATTATTATAATCTGCATGACATTTACTTAGTTGTTTAATAAGCAGGTTCTTTCAGTGTAGCACGATCGGCTTCTGGACAGACAGATAAGGGGGAGTTAACACTGGCAATTTCTACGTTGTTGCTGCGAGCAGTTCAGGGATGCTGCTTTGCATAATTGTAACTTCACTGTGTTGTTCAGCAAGCCATGGGTTTGATTCTGTTTTCAAATATACTGTCTTTATGTAAATGTGTGGGAACCGAAGCAAGGAGCATTGCAACTTTCTGATTACTCAGAGTACTGCTTAATCTTATAATTGTAGACTCTTAGTCGTCATGGATCGCAACAGTTGGGAACAGAACAGGGGGAATGAGAATGAAGCAAGCTTGCTGCTTTTTGAGGGAATATCCCCAAGCCATTTTGCTATACTTTTCTGTAATATTCCCTGTACTTCCCTGCTGTAAAACTCTGCCTGGTAGAAAGCCACATGACACTATAACAATAGTAATTTAATAATGACACATTTTACAATAGTAGTAGTTTCAGTTGCATTAAAAGCCCGTAGCAGCCATGTTTCTGTAATTAGCATTGTTCCACCGGCGTGGTACAGATTTGGGCCCAGTCCTGCCAGCTGTGGCTAAACCCACGTGGCTCTGCACACCAAAGCCTAGTCAGCAGCCAACACAGGGCCTTATCTCAGGAAGATTTTTAGCTAGAAGACAGGGAGGTTTGCTCCTCGACTGCTCTCGGGTGAACTGTTGAGCTGTTCCCATTTCTCATGAGGCAAACGTGAGGCCGAGCCACGAGTCAGTCCGCTGACACCGACCTGCTGGGGGTGGGGACCACTCTGCGCCCCGCGCAGCACACCGCCTCCTGCCCCAGGTGGACTCCATCCTGCAGAGCTGCCCGGCGCGGCGGCCCCAGGCGGGCGCCGCCGAGGAGGAGGGGGCCGAGGAGGGGGACGTGGTGGTGGTGATGGACGGAGCTGGGGAAAACGGGCAGGCCAGCCTCCCCGCCGCCCAGGGCCTGGGCTTCGGCGCGCAGGAGGAGCTGCTCCTCCTCTTCACCATGGCCTCGCTGCACCCGGCCTTTTCCTTCCACCAGCGGGTCACCCTGCGGGAGCACCTGGAGCGGCTGCGGAGGGCCTTATGTGGGGACCAGGAAGAGGAGGGGTTCGGCCGCCACCAAGCCCAGGTAACGCCGCGACCTGGTCTCTTCC